AAAACAACAGCAGCAGCAACAACAACGACGAACAACGACTACCAACAACAACAACAACAACAACAACAACAACAACAACAACAACAACAACAATGATGTTCAGACGGTTCGCTCCTATCTGCTCGCGCGCCACTCAACACGTATATCCCCAACCCTCGATACCCGCCCTCTTCGTCGTCGATCGCACCCCCTTAGGGGTACATCTTTCTCAACTGCAACGTGTATGTCGTGGAGCCTCCGAGGCAGGGGGAGAGAGGACGGATAGAAGGAAGGAACAAAGGAGGAGGGAGGAGGATAGAGCACGAGAGAGAGTAGCAGGAGGGGGGCTAGGAGCAGAAATCTACAGGAAGATCGGGCGGGTAAGCCCTAACGGGCGGGTCGGGAAGGCGGGCCCAGGCGGCCAGGTCGAGCAGGCGGGTTGCTGAAGCGTGCGTCCTGCAAGAATCGCGAGGAAATCTCGAGCGATAGTGCGATTCCCAAGGCCAGAACGAGAGCGTGATTCCTGGGTGTCGAGGGCGCGGCGTCTGAATAACTTGCGAGGATGTCACACGCGAGAGTGCGATTCCTGTATAATGTGTGAGGAAGTCCGGCGCGAGAGCGCGATTTGGGAATACATTGCGAGGAAGTGGGAGCCGTTGATGTTGTAAACCGGGGGCCAAAGACACAATTCTGAGACCCAAGACTTTCCCTGATAAAACACCAGGTGCGAGCCCTGAGACGGGCACTTCAACGGGGCGGGGGGCGGGCGGACCCCCCCCCCTTTGGGCTTTCTCAGCCAGCAGTGGGATCAAGAGCTTCGGCACGGTCTCAATTGACTCGACATCGTCTTCCAACGTACCGTGAATTGCGCAAGGCCGAATTACAAGTGGCAAAACAGAGTATTCCTATGTGTTCTGTCAATGAGGATGCTAGCTTGGTCGCCACGGCGTTGCGTCGACACGGATTGCATGTCAAATCTCAGCGCGCTGCGTCATACCTGGAGACGGACGTGGGGAGTGGCAAACAGCATGCACGCAGCACCAGCATGGCGAGGATGACCAAGTCCTCTCAATGCATGGTCGCAGTCGTTGATTCTCAGCATCGAGCAAGAAGTTCCGAGTGACCTCCAAGCTTGAGCGCTTGGGGGCGCGGGCGGCAGGGTCGCACCCCCTCCAGATCCACAAAATCTTCAACGGGCACATAACCACCTACCGCAGGCGGCTTGGCGCGGCCTGTGGGCCACCCTTTTGGCTCCGAAGGCCCGTGCGACCCCGCGCTGTGCATGCCAGAGGAGCTCATCAAAAGGTGGTTTCAGGTGTGGCAACAGACCCAGCGCGTCAGCAGCATGAAGCGATATCGCGCAGCACCTTCGGAGCATCGAGCCATCGCATCGGGTTCGACGCATCCGAGGGCCAGTATCAGCGATCATCAATCGTTTGCTCGAGAACGATTGGGACCCACAGTCAGCAGCTTGCGGGGCTCTTCCTCGCAGTGGTGACGGCGAAAGATTGAGCGGCGGTTTCCTGATTCGGCTTGGACGGGGAACGCGACAGTCAATGCTCCAGCAGGTCTTTGGGAACACCTGAAGAACAGCAAACCTCGGCGACTATGGCGTACTGCATCTCAGCATTTCTGCGGTGGCGGCTCGGAGTTCGGCGTCGACACGCTGTCCTTGCCAGCTTGACGGGCAACTCCAAGGCACTCCAGGCGGCTCGCGCCTCGCTGAGGTCCTCTGCACAGTCGCCACAGGAGAGAGCTTGCCACGCACGCGTCGCATCAACGCAGCAGGGGCCAAGTCACTCGGGATCTACAGGTTGTGTCCTCGGCGCAAGAAGGAGCCAGAGGACTTGTTTCACACAGGGTGATATTACGACATGAATGCCAACTCGCCAGCATACGCTATTTCCGCAGACTTATTACATCAAGCGCGACTTCGTTGGGAGAGCGAGGAGTGCTACTGGCTGCGGGGGCTTATTCCAGCGAGCTGGACTGAGGTGCCGCCGCCTCTCCCCGAGCCCAGGCGGCATGTCGCAGGTCGAGCAACCGAGCTGGAGACTATATCCACTTCGGCGAAGGCACTTGGCGTGACCCGACGTGGGTCTTCGGGGACGCCACCGGTGGCCCCGATTCGGGCGACCCGCGATTCCGTCGCGTGGGTCTATCCACTGCGCACACTCGACCGTTCGAGCCGCTGGAAGTGGCTACCACGATATCGGGAGGGCCCCCAGGGAGGCGGCCAAGCGCCCCCCGACGAAAGCTCATGGCAGTTGGTTGCAGCACGGTGTTCTCGGGGAGACGCGAACTGTGTGACTGAACGCGCCGCGACAGCAGATAGCTGGAGTTCGCAGGTGTTTCGTCGTCCTGACGGAGCGGACACGGACCTCTGACACAGGTCGAGCAAGAAATTCTAGATCGAGATCCTAGCATGTGCTCGGTAATGTTCATCAATCCTTATCAGTTTGGAGAACGAGGCTCTTTGCAGTCGGAGCTGACTTGGCTCTTGGCAGTCGGCAGCTGCATTGCAGACTACTTGGCAGGAGTGGCTTCAGGGCGCTTGCGAGTTCCAGAGTCGTCGGTAAGATTCAGCGTGTTGAGAAGCAGGCGTTTCAAATCAGAGCAAGGTTGACTCGAGCTACGGTGGACACGCTCGATTTGTTGAGCTCAACGCTCTGTCCGCCACGCTTAGCCAAGCACCATACGGCGGGGGGAGAGAGCCTGCAGGCGGAAAAAAGGTCCGCCACGGCAGGCACCAGGGCCAAAAGGGGGCGGCCTGGTGAGCCGAAGGGCCAAGGACGGGGAAGGCTGTGCCACCCCGTGCCCTGACGCACAAACAGTACAAAAGTGTGGCGGCCTCTGAGCAGCTGTCACTTGAAGCAGCGCAGGAAAAAAGCCGACGGTGGCCCGAGAAAAAGAGAGACTGTCCCACCTCTTCCTCCTGCTGCTGTAAGGCGCTTCGCCTCTCGCCCTTCTGAGCGCGGGGAAAAAAGGCACGGTGTGCTTCCGTTCTGCGTCCGAGGCCACAGTCGCCGAGCGGATGCAGTCCGAATGTTCCGAGCCTCGTTACCTTGACGGAAGGATCTTTGCGCTTCCACCCAGGGTTCGCTTGCACGGTTCGGGGGGGCTGGGCACACGGTAGTCACCAAATACGTGCAAAACAACCATTCAAAGCTATAGATGTGTGATGGATGCGGCCATGTATGGTAGACGAATGATCAGGAACTTAGGATCAAAATGCCTTAGACTACGAATGCGAATCGACGCGAGTATTTGAATCGGATCGAGTTCGATCGTTGACCGAAGGCTCTTAGCAAGGCCGAGTTGCTCGCTCGAAGTCGCCAGTAGGTGTAATCACAGACTGGTTTCGCGACTGGTTTCACTCGCTCACTCACTCACTCCCTCACTCGCTCATTCACTCACTCACTCACTCACTCACTCATTCACTCACTCACTCACTCACTCACTCACTCACTCACTCACTCACTCACTCACTCACTCACTCACTCACTACTCACTCATTCACTCCTCCTTCTCCTCGTCTCCCCCCTTTATCGCATCCCGACTCGGCCCAGGAGCACCCGAATCCCGACGTCACGCAGGGGAACCCCGGAAAATGGGATTATGGTCCTGTGTCCCGCCACAGCTTGACCAAGAAGGCCTTAGCGTTTGAGCGGCCCCAGAGCAAAGTCGAGAAAGAGAGCGGGAGCACACCCGACAGAGCCTCCTACACAGCTTCCAGCACGACCTGAACGCAAAGCAACGATCTCCGCCTAACAGAGAGTCAGCCACGGGAGAGGAAGGACGGCCTGGCAAAGTGGACATCAGATACCTGCGCAGCGAGGCCGCGCGGGCCGTCTGGGGACAGTACAAAGCCACGCCTGAATCAACTGTGAAAGTGGTCCTGGGCAGGTGACCGCTTCAGAAGTGCACCTCGCAAGAGCGGGATGAGGGTGTGTGATCCTGGCGACAAGCCCTTGGACGGAATCGCCAGACCCAGCCGAGTGAGAGGTGAACGACGATGTGCTGGAGGACCGCCGTGAGGAGGCCAAGAGGGACACCGGACGCGACGGGCCTGTCACACGCTGGTGGAAAATCCTGCTCCTCTTGTTCGCAGCCTGCTGCGTGAGTGTGCCCCCGCGCTTTGCCCCCTCCTTCGCGGCCTCCTCCCTCTTGTCATTCCCTCTTGCATGCGGGCTAATTCGCCTTGCAGTGCCCCGGCCTCGCTCCGACGCGCGTGCGGATCGCCTCTGCCGCGCTGCAACGGAAAAGCTCGCTGTGGCTCCGCCTGGCTGCAGCACAGCGCGGTCAGGGCTGCGGTGGTAGACGGCAGGCGTGCGGCTGCCTAGAACCGAAGAGCTGCCCAGGCCAAAAAACTCCGAGCGGACCTTCGAAAACTGGTGTTCATCATGCCGCTTCTTTGTTCTTCGACTGTCGCCTAAGGGGAGAGGACCGAGAACTCCGCCGTCGGATTTTGTTCACAACGTTGTCCCCTGCAGATCCCGGCCCTTCCCCCGGACAGGCTTGTGATCCTGAGCCGTTGTTTTCTGGGCCTGGCATGGATCCAGGAGCCCGAAAACTTGCAAAATCGTCCAGCGTGATTCCTTCGGGACTCGAGGACAGGGGTGCGCCGAAGACCGAGGCCAGGAAGAAGGGAGTTGGCGCATCATGGCTCGAGGCATGTGCGGGGACGAGGGGAGACCAAAGGACGCGTTGAGAGAAGAGGAAAAGAAGCCGTGAAATCCATGACATCCACCCCCCTCCAGGGGCCCCCACACGGTGTGGTGGCCGCGCCACGTGGCGAGTCAGTGGGGATTCGGGGTCACCGCATGGTTCTGGGACTCGGGCCGTTCTCCGAGGACGTCTCGGGCCACTGGGGCCTCCGAGGTCCCAGCACCGTGCGGTCACGGACCGCGCGGTGAGGTCTCTTGGGGTCTCGAGGTCGCCGCGCGGTCTGTCACCACACGGTCTTGGGGCCCACGGGCAGCCCGACGCCCCCAGGCAGGAGATGCGGCCAGGAGGCGGGCCGCGAGCGGGCGCCTGCCACGTGGAGGCCACGAACGACAGGTGGTTCGGGCACCCCGTGGGCGCCCAGACGTAGCAGCCGGGCGCCTCGGGGCTCCCCGGCGTGTCGCCCAGCCTCAACGGGAGGCGCCGCGGCCGCCGCCGCCGTTTTCTGCTCGGCGGCCGCGAGCGAAGCACCACGGCGGCGGCCGGCGCGCACGCCGCCGCGGGCCGCCACGGCGAAGCGCCGGCGGTCAGGAGGGGTGGAGCGCGGCAGCGGCAGGCAGGGGAGGCGGAGGAGAGACAGCCACAGCAGGCAGGCAAGGGGGGAGGGAGGAGGGGGAGGAGGAGGAGGAGGAGGAGGAGGAGGAGGAGGAGGAGGAGGAGGAGGAGGAGGAGGAGGAGGAGGAGGAGGAGGAGGAGGAGGAGGAGGAGGAGGAAGAGGAGGGGAGGAGGAGGAAGAGGAGGAGGAGGAGGAGAGGAGGAGGAGGAGGAGGGGGAGGAGGAGGAGGGGAGGAGGAGGAGGAGGAGAGGAGGAGGAGGAGGAGGAGGAGGAGGAGGAGGAGGAGGAGGAGGAGGAGGAGGAGGAGGACGAGTTAGAGTTGGAGTTAGAGTTGGAGGAGGAAGAAGAGGGGCCTCGGGGACGTTCGTGGAGGCTCTTCGCCACCTCGTGCCCTGGGGAGGCCCACTTCT